GCTGCAAGGAAAAAAAGCACAAAAAATTAAACATAAGAAATCTCAATTTTCATCAAGACAGCAGGCAGATTGCCATATGTTGCTTAGAATGATTAGGTAAATTAAAATGTCTAGCGACTGGTTTCGATGTGTCCTTGTCATTCCTTTCCACGTCTCGAAGGTGTTCTCGGAATCGGTCACCTAGTCTTCTGCCTGTTTCGCCGATGTATATCTTTTTGCAATAAGTGCAAGTTATGCAATAGATTACATTGGCGGAGGTGCACGTGAAGTGATCGGTGATCTTAATGGATCGTTTAGGTCCCGATATTTTATCAGTGTTGTGAATGAAAGGACACGTTTTGCATCGTGCACGAGCGCATTTAAAAGTGCCTGGTTGGTCATTAGTCTGAAAAGAACTTCTGACCAAAAAATTGCCTATGTTTTTGTCGCGTTTGAATGAAATGAGCGGAGGCTGCGAAAAGATAGTGCTTGTCTCTGGATCGTTTTGAAGTAATTTAAAGTTTTTAAGAATGATGGATTTAACTGAGTGGTTGTGAGGGTGAAACGTGAGAGTGAATGGAATGCGGTTGGAATCTTCCTTATGCGACGTTTGTAGTGCTGAATGTCGATCAATAAGTTGGACGCGGTGGTAACCTGCTTGAAAGACAGAAACAGGGTAACCACGTTTATCGAAAAACTGGCACATTGACTCTGATTTGCGGTGGAGATCAGAGTCATCACTACATAGATGACAAAAGCTTGGATATCTTTATTTTTAAACAAAAGCTTGGATATTTTTATGTTTTTCCCCTTTGTCCAGTCTACATATATAAATAAATCAGTGCTGCATATCCTGAATCTCGTTTGCTGAGCCCCAACACAAATCAAAACAAACCACTGGTTGGAGTTAAATGGCTATGAACAAAGGCCCATAGCCGCTTTAATAAAAACATGTTTTGAGATCTTGAGAAATTTACGAGGAACGAAATTAAACATTTTATGGCCCAGTAAAGGTGAGGGCACTCAAAAACGCCAAAGAGCATTAGGTTTCTCTGCAATCCTGATGCTCGCCCCACCCAAAGGAAATGCAGCACTGGAAACAGGAACTGCTGCCATTGCAAGCAGACTCCGCTTCTCTATTACAAGGTAAAAAAAGGAGAAATGTAATATAACTAAGAAAATCCGAATAATTGTTAACTCTTATTATTGTTAACTGGGGAGCCACTGCCCTTGCAAGTAAGCCCCCGAGATGTTTATGATTTAAGATACATCTACAAGCCGCAAGATTGCAGTACTACCTCGGGATACAGATAGATAGCAACAGCGTTAAAACTAACTTGATGGCAGATGTGCCACCTGACAATGCTAAGATATAAAAATAAGTGGGAAATTGAATAGGTGACTCCTGCCCTTGCAAGTCAGCCCCGGCGTAAGAAATGTAAAGTAAATTCGTCAAAATATCCCTGCGACCTAACTCTAAAATGAACAGAATTGCTGCCCCTGCGAGTCAGGAGTATTAGTCCAGAGTACGGCATGAGGAGTAGCAGCAGCCGCCCCCGCTGGATGCTGCCACTAGCCTTAAATCAATTAGCTATGAAGATAATGAAGGGATTCTGATATATTTCTGGAATGCACTGGACTTCCAACGCCCCAAAGCCCTAATCTGTACATCAGACATTCCAGCATCAGCAGCATAAGAAGCAGCGCCTATACGAAAGCTATGGCCCTTATAACGTGAAGGGTCTAGATCACAGTACTTAATGGTCATGGAAATCTTGTGAATGAATGTATCTCTTGAAACAGGGGAACCATCCGCCAATTGAAACAGAGGCCCTGGCCTGTTCCCCCGAAGGGCTAAATAATCCAAGATGATTTGGACAGGACAGGAATGGTTGCGACGATTCGCTGCAAGGAAAACTTTTCTTTTTAAAAATCGCGCACAATCCCTGAAATGATTGTGAGGTGTTTATTATCTACTGCTGTCTCCCGTAGTGTCACGGAATGAACTGAAAATATAATTTGCAAGTGGCTATAGGCCAGAAATGAGAGTGTGTAACTAATAAGATACTCCGAAACAAAAAATTAGTAGCACCGAGAAACATAGGGTCAAAATTGGATCAAGATCGGAGTCTTGTTGTTACAATCACTCTCTCACTCACTTCGATGATCTATGTGACTTCGCCTCCTATGGGAGACAGTAGCCATAAAAATTAAATCTTCGGATCTACTGGACATAATTCGCTGATTCAAACGGTAATATGCTCTGTCCTTAAAGAAAGACATTTTCCCTCAAGTTCTCATGATGCACCGATCACACCTCGTAAGATATTTCTTCAAGGTAAATCTTTTTCATTTCACCTGCCATCCTGAAATGATTGTGATATGTTCATCGTCTTATGTAGTACTCCGAAACAAACAAAAAGTAGCACCGGGAGGCAATGTGATCACGTGCTAGTTCCGATCAACATAAGAAGCGATCCCAAGAAATCGTTACGAAGCATTGAACGACTCAAGATGTTCCGCAAGGGATATCAGGTAAAACTCGACAGACCTCTTTGTGAGCTAAGAGGCCGTTCGTATTCTATTGTTACACTCACTCACACACTCACTCACTCAAGTTCCTTCCTCGTTTTGACAAAAAAATATGCGAAGAGGATGGCCCGCAAATAAATGAATGGACTCGCAAGATAAATAGAAATAGTACTTCTTTATAAAATGAAAGAGCGTGTCATTCAACTGACTGATGCACATGTTATCACGCTGAAAGTCAACTAAAGCAGAATGTCCAGTCCGATGT